CTCCCCCCCCACTTTACACCCCACTTAGGGTCATCACTGGTTTTTTAAAAGTACTTTAAAAGACATTTTAAAGCGTTGATTTTATGAAAATTTTCTTGGAAACAAAAGAGATATTGTCAAATGTCGAATTGCTGAAATTTTGAGAATTGAAGCGGCAGACGGGAGTATCAACAATCGGTAGGCATACATCTCCCACCTACCTAAATCGGGATATCTAGCATCTAGCAACCCTATATGCTCGGTGCAGCCACCACTAGTATTCAGTGGTGCTGCGGTGGTATAATAGTACCAATGAAATAATTAGAAACACAATATAAAACAATTATTAATTATCATGAATTTAGAAGGAGATTTTTTATGATTTATTAATACACATATAATGGAGTATTGTACTCGTATATATACAGCGTGACCATTTGAAAACGAAACAGAGCCAGTTTTGGGCACCACAGGTCATTTACGAAAAAACGCTCGAACCCGTCAACTTTTATTTTAGGGGGAAACATTTTTTTGCCAGTGTGACCCCCTGAACGAAAATGCTCTAGCGGGGGCGAAACTTAACCCTAAAATCTTAAACGGAAAGAGGGGTCGAATGATATCTTATCCTGAAGGTATTTTTATCTAGATTATAACTCCTGAATTTTAAATCACTACTGTCTTCCTAACCATGATCTTTTAACGATTTTTATTTTCTTGAAATGCTTACCAGTTTTTCGAGTAATTGTTAGAAATGCTGACCCTGGGATTCCATGCAATAATAGAGGTTTTTTTCAAAACGCTCTCGGACATTTTGAAGAATATGTGGGGTGATTTGATGACATTCAACAATTATCCGTTGTCGAAGATTTTCCAGTGATGTTGGCTGGGTGACATAATTTTTTTATATTTTAAGTAACAGAACTAGTTTAGTTACTACGAGAGCTAATATCTCAAAAGTACAAAGACTAGCCTGTGTTCGAATCACCGGTGCAATGAGAACCTGCCTTACGGCCGCAATGGAGGTGATCTTAAACCTCACCCCTCTACATTTAATGATAGAGAATGCAGCAGAAAGGACACGATATAGAACTATCAGGAACGGAGTAATCAGACGATAGTCTACTTGCTTCAGGACCAAAGATACCTGGGACAATCTGTGCCTGGAATATGCCCCAGGATGAAATGATAAAGAAGTACAGTTTTGTAAAAAACTTCAAAACCACAGAGCTGGGCAAGAAAGAATGGAGCCAAGAATCCATAGCGCTTGCAACAGAAAGACATGCTATTCAGTGGTATACGGATGGTTCCAAAACCATAAAAGAAACTGGAATAGGAGTGTATGGGCCAAGAACCAAACACTCCGAAAGCTTGGGAAAACACCCAAGCATCTTCCAGGCGGAAATTCACGCCATCGAGAAGTGTATCCTGTTTAACATCGAGAGAAACTATCGTAGACAAGAGATTATCATCATGTCCGATAGCCAAGCAGCCATCAAAGCACTCAAAAATGGTCTGGAGATACCTAGAACAATTGAATGAGCTAGGCTAGAAAAATATAGTTACTCTCCCGGGATATAACGGGGTACATGGTAACGAGACTGCAGATAGTCTCGCAAGGAAAGAGGCTCAAATACCCTTTGTGGGACCTGAACCATACTGCGGTATCAGCAGTAACATAATATTAGGAGAGATTAAAAAAGAATTGGGCAGTAGAAGAACCGATAATTGGAACAATCTCTTGGGGCTGAGACAGGCTAAGATACTTCTGGGTGAAATATAACCGGAAAAGATCGGCAGCCTGCATCTGCCTGAGCAAGAACAGGCTACGTATTGTAACAGATGGATCCTTACCTGGCATTGCCCACTAAAAGGACACTTAAGTAAACTGAGAGTAGTAGAGGATAGTGAGTGCAGATTCTGTGAGGAGGAGGACGAAACCTCCATTCACATCCTAACTTAATGTGTAGCACTCCAGAATTCAGGGGCACTATATCTAGGAGGATATCAAATAGAAGAGGGAGATTTACCTAACTTGAAGCCACTTCAAATCCTACACTTCCTTGAGAAAATAGGATTGAAAGGGTCGTTATAGGCATTGAAACATTTCCTTAGTGCTTTTAGGTCGCAGTGTATTAACACTCCATTTCCAACATAACAACATAACATAACTATCATTGAATAAATAATGAGGAGGTTGGTAAGGTATACAAAAATAATTCATACATTCTGTCATGAAATGCCTAAACTGTATAAAAGCGGTCTTGAAAATCTGCCACTCGATTCATGATCGAAGCAACGTTGACGTGTGAAGACAGTCGGACCGCGTCTCGAATATACAAGAAACTTACGGAATCTTCTAGCTACGCCGCTGACGCTTCGAGAAATTGCCGTCGAGTCATAGAGATGGAATTTTCGGAAGCGCCTGGAAACTACGAGCACAGAATTGGACTTGATATAAATAGCCGACTCATCGGCGCATAGTTTAGTTCAGAGTATTGGAATGAAAAGTTAAAGTGTAATAAATAAATTAGAATTGTTGTATTATATAAATTAAATAGTACGTCTTAAATAAATTGTAAATAGTGTGTTTTAAATAAATAAACTATAAATAAATAAGATTATCGTTACAATTCCTATAATATTAATATGGAACCAAACCCACAGTAGACGACGTTATCCAAAAAATTACTACGCCAAGTGATGACGTAGCTGTGTTCTTCTTATTGTAATCGGGCCCTACCTTCCAATACACAACGTCAAACGACTGAGAAAATGAATGTACCTACCCGATAGGGTTCAGAAGTTCAGTAGAAAGATGAGGACCATTTGTATACCGGATCCCCTATCAGCATCATTGTCCTTTATTCACTTTTCAAAGAGGTGGCAACCTTACTACCCGATATACCGATATCTCGAACCAAGATCCAAAACCTATTATTTACCTACTTATCTGAAACAAATTTAGTCCAGTAACTGAAGACCTGAAAATATGCAAAGCTGTCATTAAGTCGGTCCAGATTTCCTTTGTAGCTCAATTCTTAGGTCTTGACGGTTGCTTTCAAGGGCGAAAACTTTTACCAACTCTTCTGCGTCGGAAAGGGCCCAAAATGGACCCTAAAACTGGTTTCCCGCCAATACCTTCCACAATATGCAAATTAGAGAATTTTTGTTTAGATAAAAAAGAAAGATCTTATCATTATCTACAAAAATGGTCCCTATCATTTTTGTCGGGAATTCGACAGGTTTCGAGATAACCGCAATCAAAAGTCCCCTCGTTCAGCCCCTGCTTTATCTCTATAGCTATGCTGATTAGCTTGTAAACGGGTGGACAAATTGTTTCAGAACTCGGTCAAAAATTGATATTTTTCGATGATTCAAAGTTCATTACAATGGGAAAACCCATAGGTATCGATCCATGTGCCTTGTAGCCCGTTATTTCCTGTCAAGAACATTGAAAAGGGGGTCAAAGTTGCGTTTTCCCACTATTTTGGACCACTTTATAGTAATTCATTCACATTTTTTTTCTTTTAATAGTTTTTTATCCCATTTTTGTTTTAAATGGGATCTTGAGATGTCTCGAATGATCTCAGAAATTTTTTTCCAGTATCTTCCTGGCGTTTTAAAACAAAATTGATTTGTTTATTTGCATTTTTCATACGTTTTCGGAGTTCTAGAAATCTTTGAAACAAGCAGTAATTAAATTGTTATTCAATGCACACCATTTTAAAGCTTAGAGTGTCTACTTTTCGAATGTATTTCTTTAAAATGGTGTGCATTGAATAACAATATAATGAAATATGAGTTTTTAATTACTGCTTGTTTCTGAACTAATTTCACAAGGTCTCGTCTCGTTTCCTGTTTCGGGGTGAGGAAGCGCAGGGTGCGGAAGTTATTATATAACTGTTTCGTTTTAACTGAATAGTGTTGCCATGTGGATTAGATATCCAAACTGGACCGTAAAAATAATAAATATAATTATTGGATGATAATGGATTTCTTTTCCATCATCTCATTTTCACTCCATAAGATGGGTTTAGCATTTGGTTTTTTAGTGGAATAATACTATTTAAATTTATTTACCTTTGAGTACATAGTTCCATTCACTAATAACTTCAACCAACACAGAGGAAAAAACTATGACTATTTTAAACAATTCACTATGAATTAATTAACATTTATCATTAATATTGACCAGATCTATTACATACATTGATTACATCAATCAAAGTATGTGATCCCTATAGTGATCTAATGCACTTCAGTGGATCAAAAATAGATCCTTAAAATAAGATAATATTTTACAGAAGACATTGATATTAATAAATAGAAAACATTGTTAAATTAGATTACATTAATTGAGATAGAAATTAAATGTTTAATAAATGCATTTTTTATATGAATATAAATAATTGTTTAAGAAAGATAGGTATGCAACATACAATACGCTGTTCGGCATAATTGGTTGTCTAACAGTCAAATAACTTAAATAACGTACAAAAACATTTATCAAAATTAATTAGTGTTACGAATATTGGAGTGTGCTACTGTGGCCTTAAACAATTTTGAAATCATTGCTAAACTATCTAAATTATTACATATTTATTTGGGGTCTGCATTATTCTCTAATTTCACAGTCGCTAAATCGTGATATTTTATCAAGAATTTTACGAAAATAAAAAAGCATACGTTTGCTAATTGTTTAAAGTGTATCGATTATTTTAGCGTATGCAAATATCTTAAACACTTGCGGAATGTATGCAAATTTGTTTCGCGCATATTTACCCCATACTTTCACATATTCCAATTGCATACATTAAATAATTGTTCCGAGTATTTACAAAAAAAGTACAAGTTCAAAAAATTTCCGCAACTCATGTGCACGCCGCGATTGCATGCAAAGTAGTTGTTCCTGGCCTATTTAACAACAAAAATAATGCTGTGAAAAAAATTATCAAATAAAGACGAGCTTTATATGCGATTTCAGACGCAAAGTAATTGAAAACAAAAGAAAATCCACCTACCTTTTCTTGTGTTTTTCTGGTCCTTTGTAAACTTCAGTCATAGAAACAGAATTCCAGTCTCGAGCACCCCTATGAACTTCCAGCGTTTCTTCTCTATGTGTGAGAGTCTCGTTCAGTGAAGGATAACCACTGCTTTGTCTGTAACAAATAATAGCAATTTAAACAGCAGCAATCACTATACCCACAAATTAAAAATACTTCTGGTATTTCAGTTAAAAATAATAAGGAATTTTCTTTCCGATTTTCTTTTATCGACTAAACCCGAAATATAAATTTACAAAACACTTATAAAACCTATGGAACGGAAAGCTCGAGACTTGGTCACTAAAAGGAGTGAAAATTTACCATTTTTGGTTTTTTTTTTTGGATAAAGAAACTTTATTTAACAAAGTATAAAAAAATGGAAAATTTTATGTGATACGAAATTTGAAATAACAGAGCGTACCATTAAATCTTCGATATGATGTTTAGTTTAAATTTTATTGTTTAGAAGTTGGCAAATGATAAAGGACGGAGATAAGAAAAAAATCTAATAAAATGTGTGTGAAAATTATTTATCTTTAATTCATATTTTAAACACTTTTTGATTAGATGGACAGTACCGACTCAAGTATAGTTCATTGGGTTGTAGATATTTGTGCAGTATTGATGAGGATCCACAAACCTTTCATACATTTTGGCCGGGTAAATATCTAACTTTATTGTAAAATTGTGTGGTGAACAGATAAAATATTTTTAAATGACAAATATAGTCGAATACCACATAGCTTTGTTGATATTAGAAGTAAACAAAAAATATTCTTTTTTGTAACGATTATTTGCTTATAACTTTTTTCCCGGAAAAATTGATTTTGAAAAATTCCGTATGAATGAAATAAGAGTTATTCAGAAATCGACGTGGACAGGCTACTGATGATATTAAATCATAGAGAATTAGTTGGTTGGGAGCAATTATGGAGAAGCTTATCATATAAGTTACCAAAGATGATTTTATACTTGTATTGACAATATTTATATAACTTTTAAAAACTATTTGGAATCAAATGTTATAAAAGATGATTACGGCATAGACATAAAAATTAAGGTAAATAAACTAGATATTTTTAAAACAGACATTTACTATAGACCAATAACAAACTTAGGAAAGACATAATTTAAATTCATAATGAGCAAAATAAACTGGACAGATTACTTTATCTCAACTGATCAAAATTACTTAGCAAAATTTATGTGATGAAATAAAGTATGCAGTACGCACTAAAAAAATATAATAAATAAGGAAATAAGATAAACTGGTTTGATGATAGACTTAATAAAATTAGAATTGATTTAAACAAAAAGAAAAGACTATGTAATTTAAATCAATTCTCATTTTATTAAGTCTATCATCAAACCAGTTTATCTTATTTTCTTATTATATTTTTTTAATGCATAATGCATACTTTATTTCATCACAGAAATTTTGCTAAGTAATTTTGATCAGTCGAGATAAAGTAATCTGTCCAGTTTATTGTGCTCATTATGAATTTAAATTATGGGAAATAAATTGCACAAAGTAGACTACAATATTATGAAAAATAAAAAATCAATAAAGGACCCTAAAACTACTTGGTCTATAATAAATAACTTAAATAATAAATCAAAGAAGGTCTCAAAAATAATACGTTAACAGCAAATGATTTAAATAACTTTTCAATATCGGTGATTGATGATCTAATACCCAGTATTCTATCAACAAGCAGAGGGATCAGAATTGCTGAAAGTATCTTTCAGAAACTCTGTTTTCCTACGACCAACAAATGAAAAAGAAGTGTTGCAGGTAATAGCTTCATTAAAAACTCAAAAAGTATGGATCCATACAACATTAATTCCATATTAGTTAAAAGTATAGGGGATATTCTCAGTAAGCCAATGGTACATATGATAAATATTTGCTTTGTAAATGGCAAGTTCCCTGATACTCTAAAACTTTGTAGAGCTACACCTATTCTTAAATAGGACGATTTAAATGTTTGTAATAACTATAGATTTGTTACCAGAGATAACAGAGATATAAGCAGTCATTCATAAAATATAATATTCATGGTGCCAACAATAGTTCGTACTGTATACATTCTATTTCTAGACGCGGGGCGAGGCGACGAAAGGTGATAAGTAAGAGAAGGGATAGAGTGAAGAATTTTACGTAGTTTTATCAATGAATAACTGCGTGAGCTTATACTACATAACGTAAATTTCCATGCCGGTGTAAGCCCTGTTGCCACTTCCAATCTAACATCACTAGATTTTGGAATTTGTTGAAAATTATTACATCTAATTTAATGAAATTACATCTAATTTGGTTAAAAATGGCTATTTTTTTGTTTTAATGCTCAATTAGGTCTTTGTAGGAAGTATTTTTTTTTTATAATTAAAAAAATTTTAACGTCAATATCTCGGTTTCAACCGTCTACAAATTTGTATAAAAAATGTTCTTTTAGAAATATACCTCTCATTTGACGAAAAACGAAGGCATAAATGAAAAAAAAACTATTCTTTATAAAAGTGTCGCCTATGTATTGACATGGTAAAAGTACTTTCGTCATATTTTTTGCTTTTAAATTAACAAAAATATAGCAATAAACGATTAGTGATGTCATGGTTTTACTAGAAAGAAAACATTAAAGGCAGAGCCTCTTGACTCTTTATGCATCTCTCTCAGTATTGAAATGTATGCAGTTTGACTCTCTTATATTATATTATACAGGGATTATTGATTTATCCACTATGAATAATAGGGTGTATTAATTACTTCAAGATTTTTTTTATTTTTGGTGGAAAATGAAAAATAAGAAAATATAAACTATTTATTGAAGGTATTTTTGAAGTATCAATTATAAACAGTAAGGCTATTGCTTTGCAAAATACAATAAATCCCCAATATAAATAAATTATAATAATAATTGAAAGGAAGTATATAAAGCATAAATTAATAATATTATGCCCCGAATTTTTGGCTGACAATATGTGCAATAAGATACGATTATTAGCGTCTTCGTGATTTGAATTTAAAAAAATCGTCTTTTGATGGTTCAAAATTATTTCCATATTTATTGATTTTCGCGAGTTTTGAAGAAGTTGCTCTGGCAGAAAATATGTTAAACGTCTTTTGTTAAATATCGAATGAATAAACAAGTTCTATTGTTGCGGAAGTATCAATTGATTTCTGAAATCCTCTCTTTTGACGTGTTGTATTTTTGATAGAATGTCCTTTATAATGATCAAATACCACATCTATCATTTGAGCATTAAATTTATTTCTAAAAATAATGTTTACAAATATATGAGCGTATTCTTTAAATGATATGCAACTTTTGGGCTTTCCTATTTTGATATAATTTTTGTCTTTGCAACAAATCCGTAATTAAAATTTTAAACGAAAACTTATAACTTACCCAAATATATTCAGCTTCAACAGGATGAACGTAGACATAATAAAGATGCAAAAATGTCTATATTTTTTCCCAATTTATTAGGTAATTTAATATATAACACATACACTTATTAATTCTTTAATAAAAACAGATAACAATATGACACATTGCCCAATGGAACATAACGAGAAGTTTCATAATAAAAAAAATGAAAAATCCTACCATATCAATAATGTGATACATCAGCCGGCACGTAGAGAGAAACAGAGCTATGCTACGTTTGAAGGTGAAGAGAAAGATACACTGAGAGTCGATAAATTTGGCGGTGAGAATTAATAACAGCATAAATCTAGGACATCTCTCATCGTTTATTGTTATATCTTTGTTAATTCAAAAGCAAAAAATATGGTGTTTACTCTGTTACATTGTCAACACATAAGCAAAAATTTTATAAAGAATGTTTTTTTTTTCATTTAGGCCTTCGTTTTTTGTTAAATGAGTGGTATATTTAAAAAAGACGACTTTTTAACTAAATTTTTGAAGGGCTAAAACCAAGATATTTACGTTTATATTTTTTTTCGGCCGTAAGTGCTAATGCAAATGATTTTTTTTAAGTAAGTATGAACAATTACTCCCTACAAAGATTTTATTGTGCATTTGATCAAAAAATTAATATTTTTTTCTCTATTCGGTGGTATCAATATCTGGATTTCTGATGATAATGCCCTTCTGCACACTCTAATTTTGTATTAACTCCGGAATAAGGGTTACCTTATCATGAACTTTCATCTGTGAAAAATTCAGCCTTGTGACAAAAGAGTGGGAGGTGAATCGTTTTCTTGAGCGAATATTTTAATACATACACTTTACTAACAATGACAACAGCGGATATTATGTCCTACTGTGTCCCTTAGAATATGTCTTATTCACGGCCGCACGATATTTGTTAGTAGTTACATCTCCTGGTTATCTCTGTTTGTTACCAATACTACCATTTTATCAAAAAATTATAGAAATAATATTAAAAGACAGACTTCTTGAATTTATAGATGGGAGAGAACTTCTCAGTGAGAGATAGTATGGGTTCAGATCACTGCGGACTACAACACAAGCAGTAACAGATGTTGTACATACTATTATAAAAAATAGAGATTTAGGAATTTCTACGAAGCTTATAGCTGAGCGACCTTTTAAAAGCATTTGATAGTGTATCACATGACATCTTGCTCAAAAATCTGGAAAAATATGGAATAAGAGGACCAGTAGGACCTCTAAAACAAAATTTAGCCTGTATCCAGACTAAACAGGACCTCATACACCCACTTGCTCTGGAAAGTGATCTAGAAAAACTAGTAGGGACGTTCCTTATTGGAATGGACATTTGTCAAACTTAAAATCCGAAGTGAGCGAACTCTATAACTGGGCCAAAGATTTTCAGAAGGCACTTACCACCTACAATATAGAAATCAGGAAAGCTAAACGTAACAGCTTCAGGGAATTAATGAGATTAAATCAATACCTGCGGCAGCAAGACTGCACAAGGCTCTGGCAAAAGAGAAAGTAGATAGAGCTATAGCTCTAAAGAAACCAAATGGAAGTTTCACGGAGAGTGAGGAGGAAAGAGCTCGCCTCTTACCCGAAACTCACTTTTTTGGGAGCACATCTTTTTTAATAAGGGATACAAGTATGGTAAGCAGGCCCTCAAGAGAAGCCGTTGCAGTGTCCAAATACATTTACAGCAACAATCGGTTAAAGTGGGCCACTTTTGAACTGTTTAAGTCTCCAGATGTGGATGGAATATTTCATGTCCTCCTTCAGCGGGCGCAGGAGGAATTAATTACTACCACATATAATCCGGATATCCAGGAGCAGTCTGAAAGTAGGATATATACCAGAGTCACCTTTATTCCAAACGTAGGGGAAAAGGATACCATACATCCTAAATCCTTCCGACCGATCAGCCTTACATCATTTGTATTAAAAACAATGGAGACGGCTGTTGATAATAACATCATAGTTCACCATAGCCAGCACGCATACTGAGCAGGAATATCTACAGAAACTGCCCTTATACTACTGACTGATGAAGAAATCCAGGATGCACTGACAAATAAAGAAACGGTCCTGTGTGCCTTCTTATACATAGAAGGAGCGTTTAACAACATGCAACATGAATCTGTCAAAAGAGCACTCCCATGCAGAGTAGATAGCACCACATTCAGATGGAAGGCTCAGCTGCTATCTACCAGAACCGCAGAGACGAAGATAGGGTATTCAACCAGAGGATGTCCACAAGGAGGCGTTCTATGCCCACTAATGTGAAGCCTAACCGTAGACAAACTTCTATGCAGATTGACTGACAATGTCCTGTCAAGGTTATGCTGACGACATAGTCATATTTGCTAGAGGCAAGTTTGGAAATATTCTGTGTGATATAGTCCAAATAGGACTAAAATACAACCAATGATGGTGGCAAGGAAAATAAATTTCAATCTTAAAGCCGTCGAATTAGATGGGATAGATATAGAATGGAAAAAAGAAGTCCAATATCTAGGCCTCACCCTGGACAACAAATGTCTTTGGAACATACATGAGAAAGAAGTAATAAATAAGGTCACAAAAGCCCTAATGATATGCAGAAACATTGTGGATAAGAGATGGAAATGTAACCTGCAGTGGGAATCTCATCTATCAATACGGCATGTGTTGAGACGTCTATCTTCGTTTGACAGAATGCGATTCTTACGTAATGTCTCTCTATTCAACACGTAACGTGTTGAGTTCTCACATAAAAGTTCCTGTGCTAAACACACTACAATAAATGTGTACAACAATTGTAAGACCAATCATCACTTATGGGGCTATAGCCTGGAGTAACAGAACTAGTTTAACTAATATCTCAAAAGTACAAAGACTAGCCTGTATTTGCATCACGGGTGCAATGAGAACCTGTCCGAAGGCCGCAATGGAGGTTAATTTAGACCTTACCCAGACTTTTAATGATAGAGAACGTGGAAAAAAAGACAAGATATAGAATGATCAAGAACGGAGTAATCAGATGAAAGTTTATTAGCTTCAGGACCCAACATACTAGATACTTGGGATATGCCCCAGGACAAAACGAGAAAGAAGTACATTTTTGTGAACCACAGACCAAGAAAGGATGGAGCTATTAATACATTGCGCTTGCAACCAAAGACATGCCATTCAGTAGTATACCGATGGTTCCAAAACAATAGGAAGTGGAATAGGAGTGTATGGGCCTAGAACCAGACACTGAAAGTTTGGGTGGATACCCAAACATCTTCCAGGCGGAAATTTACACCACTGAGGTGTGTACCGGTTTCAGAAACTGATATTTTTAAATTTCTGTAATTGTGACTATTAGCTCCTTTGGCATAATGGGTCCAGGTTTGATCCCTTGCTGCGACAATTTTTTCAATTTTTCTTTGGTTTGTTTTAACTTTGGGGTTGTGTAGATCGGTTCCTGAATTTAGTAGTAGCAATTGGTAATGTAATAAGGGGAATTGGGATATTCATTTTCATGTTTCCAAAATTTAACACTTTAATTTTTTCCAACTTACGCTTCGCATTCATCTAGTCCGCTGCTCTGACTGTAGCAAAAGTCCATCATCAAATCATCGCTGGCGATGCTCTCGCACGGTGACAACGTATCCAAAGACCCGGTTCTGTTTTGCGAAAATCTCTTACTTCTGACGCTCAAAGGACTATGTTCAACTCCTGACAGTATCCTTCTTCTCGGCTTCGGAGTGGATTCCATAATCGTTTCCGAACTGTTATCGGTTGTTAAATGACGAGGCTCTTCGAATATCAAAGCCGGCTGGTCTGCTATCTCGTCGTCGATCAAAAAGTCATCTTTATTGCCACCTAGAATAAAAAATAAAAATGATCAGATGACGAAAAAAACTTTGTTCACCATTATCTAGTTTTATAAGTAATACGAGGAGCACTGCTTGCTAAAGTTCGCGTACTGCTTGTATTGCCAGCGTTTAGCAATTATTATATTCTTAGTTTCACTTTTTACTGTTCCGTACCCGAAGGGAAACCAACGGGACCCTATTACTAGGCTGTATCTCATGATCCGTAAATAGGTAGACACTTGAAATTTTCACAGAGTGTGTATTTTTGTTGCCGCTATAACAATAATATAAATTAAAAATTAAAAGGGACTCCCCTACTAGGAACGCGTTTTGTTTTTTGGCTTCTTTGCTCGATTTTAATCAAGTTTTTAAAAATAACCTACATACCATTAAATCATGTACGATGGTGCAGAACCTTTCATGCGCGAGTCCGACTCGCACTCAGTGGCGGTTTGCCCGTAAGGGCACTTGGGCACGTGCCCTAGTATAAAAAACAAAATAACTTACATATTTTATATTTTCCTCAATTCCTATTACTAATTTATCTAATATTAAGCGCAAACCGCGTTGGCACGACACTGGACGACCGGGCGTTAAGCGACGTTCCGAGATTTCCGAAATTAAGTTAAAGATGGGCACATGGCACAGTAAATGTGTGCCTCTGTTGTTTTCTCTCTCATTATGAATCGAAAAACAAGGACAACGACAATATCGCTTGGCAAGAGATGAACACATGCGATGAATTATACGTCACAAGCGGAGTGCTGTCACAAGCGGAGTGCTGTCCTTATCGTAACGTGCTGTACCCATGGTACAGAACCTAAACCAGATACAAATGTACGCAGCGGCATCTTTGCCGGCTCCCTCACAAAAGCGATGCCGGTTTCGGCTTAAGGTGCGAGTTTGTTGGACCATGATAATAATTTATTTATTGTGATTGCGAAAAAACGTTAGTTGGACCATTGGAATAGTTAAGAAATAAAACTACAAAGAAAAATAACTCTTTTTTTTATAAAGCAGTCAAAAATATGATGAAAAAAAATCAATAATATTTATAAATGAGACAAAATTTTAATTTTTCTTTTGGTTTTTTCTGACTTTTTCGAGGATTTCAAATCTCTGTTTGCATATTTAAGAGTATAAAAAATTCTGAGTCTTATAAATAATTTAATAGGGTACATTTTCGCAAATTGTTGGCAAGGATGACCAAATTCTATTTTGCTCATCTCAAAAAGGTATGCGTTGGAAATTCCAGGCTTAGTTGACAAACTATCAAATAGAGATATAAATATTTTTTCTATTTTGAAAATATAAATGAGAAATTTTTCGCTGGGAGATTTTAAATTGCCAAACACCTTTTCTTCAGAGTCGTATGCTTTAAAATGCGTTAACAAGTTAGAATTGTTAAGTAAATTGCATTCTTCTGAGAAATTTATGCAAATTTCGCAAGAGTGGATATGCAATGATTTTTTTTATTAAATAGCCACGTAGTTAAATGCATTTTGAGTGGTCACATTTAGCCCCCTGTAGTCACATCCAGAAATCGTTATTGCCCCAACTGATTGTTTTGAAATATATTTAATTTTCATTAAGCGAAGAACTTGTTTTCCTAAGGGAAAAACGAATTCCGGGATTCCTTTCCAGTGTGTGTCCCACTGCCGCTAGGGCCCACAAGCCGCCACTGCTCGCACTTGGCCGTTTTTTTAAATGTATAATTCAGTTGACAATAAATCGAACAGTTTCGTTTCAACAGAAGTAAATTAATTAGTTGTCTGAAAAATGGAAATATAGAATCGTAATTTTTGAGTGATGATTTTTGAAACGGTTTAATACAGCAGCAATGTTTGGAATTAACGTCTTATGTTATTTAGTGATGAATCATTATCCAAAACTATGGTTTACAAATGATTCGCCAACGTTTGATATAATTATCTTCACAAATGTCGTTCATGTAGCTTTGTTGTCGTAAAATATATCGATGCTGTGCCATGATATGATTTTATAAGATCGGCATGTGACATATTGCATATCAAGAAGCTTGTGTCATGTGTCAAATGCTGCAATTAAATGCTCAAAAAATTTGAAGCCGGTAGTTCAAATTCTGTACATAACATCGTAACAGGTAGAGAGCTCAAAGGCTAAATGCCAAAAAGAATCACTGTTGAACAGAGAAATAATGTAAAAGATAGTAGTATACCGAAACCCAAAGTGAAGAGAAGGTAGACAAAAAAGTGGAGAAGAATAGTGAAGAAAATAATGAAAATAGAATAAACGTTATCATGCAGTCCTAGGCCTACAAGACCGGTTGCGCTATTATACAGTGTGGCGCATCTTATACGCGTCGGTCTCTGTAGGGAAAACGACTTAAAATTTGATTTTTTTTTTCTTAATAGGGATATACAGTGCCATTAACACTACAAATTAAAAATAATTTGGATTATACAGGGTGACCCAAAAATAGGAATTTATATCAAAGTTATGTTTTTTTTTAAAGGGAAAACACCCAATATTTGATGGTTTCTTTTGATTCCCCGGAAAAAATAAAGTAAAGTTTCTGTAATGTTTCCTATACCTATCTCTTTTCGTTTTTGAAACATTTAAAGGATTCTTAATTTGTAAGCTTGAACAAAATAACCTAGTATGTCGCGGTTATTTAAAACCCATCAATAGTCACCTGCGATATGCGTAGCCAAGATATTAGACTATCGAATAAAATACAAATGTTTCATTACATCATACAGGGTGCTCATTTAGTCTAATTGAATTCGACTTACATATGGAGTTGAATAATATTCCTATTTTAAATGGCACCCTGTCTTTAATAACAAACTGATAGACATTTAAATTATCTTTCATTCCATATAAAATTTCCCTATGCCTAAATTCGATGGATCTTTAGTAAATAGCTGTTTTTAATTTTTAACATACGGATTTTATACCAGGTCTTCAACAATACCCGAAACCCACGTGATCTGATAACCATCAAAAACCCATCGAAAGGGCATGATTTGACGTAAAAGGAACCAAACTGAACTGTCAGTCCTGTCAGAAATGTCACTGGCGTTCATTTGGGGACTGACAATATTTATATTATATTTGTTTACATTTTATAAACAACTATATTCCAGTTTTAAATTAATATTAATAAAGCAATTAGTTATTTTTAGAGATTATTTTTGGCTTAATTCTTTTTTGTTGGTAAGTACAAATTTGTTTACTGTAAACCGTAAAAGTTAATGACTATATAATTTATTTCAGGTGTTACACAGGAACAACAAAATTATTTTATATTCGTAATTGTATTCGAAAATTTGAGGAACGTTTTCCAGGTGAATAAATGGAATGTGATTCTTTTTTGTCTTCATAAACAAATACATGTTCAAAATTATAAAAAAGGAAAAAGCTCTAAAAGGCCCACAGTATAATAAAAGCTGTTGAAGATGTGCGAATTAACATGGTCCAAATTCCCAATAAATTAGTAAAGAAAAACAGCACCTCAAACAGGTTTGAACAGTGTTTCATAGAATGACTCTGACGAATGAAATTCAAAACATATTTTTTTTAGGTTTGTCGCCACGAACTAGCCATAAAATATTGAAAATATTTCTGATAATTCACCCCCAAGAAAGTTTTGGTACTGCAAAAATCATTTTACATTAATTTTGTTAAACCTACCCATGGAATATTACAGATCACTCAATTCAAAATCGTTTGTGTGACATTTATGAACTGAAACACCTATATTAAATAAAATACAAAATATAACTGAGGAGACACTACATAATGTGTTCAAAAATGAACGATTAATGCTTGCATTAAAGCTGGTGGTAAAGATTTTGAACAAATAGGTACTGTGAATTAGTATCGTTTGTGCACCACCGATTAGATTTAGATTAGATTTAGATTTAATTAGGACTATGGGCCATGTGGCCTCCCCCACCTCGACCTTTTCAGATCTATTGTGGATATCCTTTAATCATTGTTTAGAGTACCTTGTCTAATGCGGTCTTTTGTAGTAAACTCCATAGACTGGAAAGTAGTTCTCCGGTATAGCTAGTTGCCCTTGGTTTTTCTTCTCCAAGTGTAAGGAATCTCAGTCTTACTAGACCTTCGCAGTAGCACAATACGTGTTCTGCCGTTTCCTCTTCTTCTTGACAGAATCGGCACAAGGCCTCTTCTGTCAGACCGATATTGAACATATGTTTGTTAAGCCTACAATGCCCTGTTAATAGACCTACTAGTATTCTAGTATTTTTCCTATTAAGGCTTAGTAGATGCTCGGTGAGTTTAGACGATGGTCCTTTTAAGAACTTTTTGGCCTGTCTCTGTCCTGGTGAGTTTTCCCACCACTCCTGAGATTTTTTAAACATCCACTGCTTTGTGCATGTTCTGATAGTTGTTTTTGTTACACCACAGAAGGGTTCTGGGCCAATAAGAGCATTTGATGCTCCTTCTCGGGCTAGTAAATCAGCCTCTTCATTGCCTTTGTGTCCCCTGTGGCCTGGTACCCACGCTAAGGTTAGTCTGTTTTGACTACCCAGCTCTGTTAGGGCTTCCAAACAGTCCCACACAAGCTTTGAGTGTACCTGCATGGAACTGAGTGCTTTTAACGTCGCTTGACTGTCTGAGTATATGACAATGGTTTTTCCATTTACCTTCTGTCTTAATACTTCTTTTGCGCAGTGATGTATTGCTGCTATTTCTGCCTGGAATACTGTCGCATGTTTACCTAAGCTCAGTGAGATTCCTGTCTTTGGCTTGGTACTATATATACCTACTCCTGAACCTTCATGGGTTTTGGAGCCGTCTGTATACCAGGTGAGATCTGCATGAATAGGAGGTCCTCCCGTCCACGCTTCCCTGTCTGGTATACTTACTTTATATTGCTTTTGAAAGCTATACTTTGGAAGCATTTCGTCTGAAGGCATTCCCATTATTTGGTCGTTCTCCAACTCTTTATATAGCTCGCTGTAGTCGCGTCCATGCAAACTGCTTATGGGCGATGAA